TAGCTTACCGGAACGATGTCCATCCGTTAGCAGTAGCTCATCCAGCTTGCACCAGTTGCATATTTTCTGACCTTTTTTCTATGTATTGCAGCACAGTAGCTGAGGTGTTCCCCACCTCTCGCTAACGTTTATGATGATGATGATGATGATCGGTCGTCTCTGCACCGCCACTAACAGTATTTACAAGACGGTTGGATGACACACTCATCCACTTACACTTTGTCACTTAACACTACGTCTCCTTCCTACACCCGGAGTTTACCGTGGAATTATTAGATGTTAACTGTGGGTATTGTGAATCTAATCGGATTGCAGGACTACGGTGGAGCAAACGATGAGACCATATTTTCATATTTAAAATACTAACTGTTTTACTATTCTTATTATTCTTTCGATACCCTCACCAACTATCCAACGGCACTTGCAGAGCAACGCTTCGTAACCCGTAGAAATTCATTGTTCAGATAATTGGCTTTCTGGTGTGAGTAACAACACCCCGAACAGCTGGAGTAAACGGTTCGAAGTCATTCGTGTACGTGGCAACTGGGATCAAGAGATCATGTCGAGCCTGTGCTTTTGTCGGCATACCGCCCGCGCATTGAAAACAGTGTTATACGCGTACTTCCGGATGTTCCATGGAGGGAACTCCAGCAGTACAAAAATAATTAAAACGACCACCACACGGAGAGTAACAAAAGTATTATTTTCGTTCATGGTGTGCCCGCGCTACCAACAACCAGCAACTAAGAAGTTCACGCCCATGACCTGGAAGAATGGTGTTACATCTGTGAAGCTCGATGTGCAGGTGACGTCATACTTCAGTCGATTACACGCTTACCCGTGTCGCCAAACTTCAGAGGTAGCCGCCCGAGGATATTGAAACTAACGGTGCAGTCACAACAGCTGGTCATGAACTTAATCCGTTGCTGGCAGTTGTTACGTAACACACTTCCTTCGGAACTACGACTGAAGACAGCAGTTGGAGAGCCCCAGCCACTTGCTGTTCTCGCGGAAACGACACCACCCGAGGCTCAATATAACCACAGCAGCCATTCAGAAACCTGTGCGCTAAGACACGTAGCTATAAAGTACTCTGCTGCTGGACTACATACCGTAGGTACAAGTGAGACCAAAAATAGGTTGCATTCCTATCGAGACTTGGCAATTCATCCAAAAAATGCTTAGGTGCCGGCCTCTCATCGGTCGGCACAAATCAACATCAATCATGTGTTCGCAATCAACAGTTTTTGACATCCAAGGTGCGTTCCTGTATTTACACCAACGTTCAAGGGTTACTGGTCAGCTTTCCGTAATGCGGCTGCGTCAAGTATCAAAAGCCTGCGACCTCATCGCTATAACGGAGACATGATTAGGTCCTGACATAAGTGACATGGAGATCGCACTGCTAGGCATGTCCATCGTTCGGCACGACCGACCCAGCAAAGGTGAAGGGGTGGCTCCTTAATTCTGCAGCGACCTCAAATGTGAGCGTATAGGGGATCCGGTCAGCATGGCACAGGATTCACTTTAGTGTCGTCTGCGTTTAAAAGGCGACGACACTTGCTTAGTAGTGGTCATTTACCGCTTTCCTCCACGCACGAGATGGACTTCTATCGGGCATCCGCACTAAAGAGGGTGATGAACACAAGATAGTTATTTTCACAGTACTGGCGATTTCAACAACCACGCTTTGGAATCGCAAGTAGCACCAGGACAACAGTTTATGGTCAACATACAAGCGTATGCCTCCAGTTACCCGCTGTATGGCCATATCAACACACCCAACCGATTCCGAGAAAAAGCCGTTAATACTGGATCAGATATTCACGAACGAAGAATTATGAACGAGAGGGTGATAATCGACGTCCACTTGGGCCACAGAGATCACGCATTCGTACTTTTCGAATACATTTGCTACGAAGAATATCCCGTGGAAATAATCGACCCAACAAAAACGTGTATGCACTAAGACAGCTAAGCTCGACTAGGTGAGACAGGCAACTGGACCTTCCTGGTAGACGAGGCACCGGCTGGTGCATGCGAACATTTAGTCAGCCAGCTTAACTCTCTGGTTGCCGAAGCATCAACGAATAAGACCCTCTGCCCAGGAAATGTCGTCTCGTTTCTGCGAAGCAGGACATCCAAGTATATAGCGGTGCGAAACAGACTGGCATATCTACAAACTCTCCACGAGCACCGAGAACTGCATGGCCTATGCGATCCAACGTAAACACTGTAATCAGCCTTATCGCGAGGACAGAGTGGTGTACCAGCAGAAGTTGGCAGTGCGTATAGCCTCACAGCACAAGCTACTGTATCAACACATCAACGGTCTACGTAAGGTGAAAGGGGGAATCCCTCATATTCAAACATCGGACGGGCCCACACGGGCACCGAAGAAGGCGGTGAATACCCTATGCCTGCAATATCCCGCAACATTTCAGTGCGATTACTGGCCACGTAACCCTATGACGATGGTTATTTCACCCACAAAGCTCACACACATATCCTTTACGGCAGAAGCTGTAGTAAAGAAGCTGTTGATTATGCGCAAGCACAGTTCTCCCGGTGTTGATAATATACACACGAAAGCGATAGCGGCAGTAAGGGAGAGTTTGGCTAAGCCTTTGGCTGGATGCTCCCAACACATTTTTGAGGAAATGTACGTGCCTGACATGTGGAAACACGGGATGATCACTCCTATTCACAAGTGCAGTAGTCGTACCAATCCAGCCAACTACCGTCCATAATCTTACTACCGGTTCTTTCAAAGGTCACGGAAGCTACTATTTCTGATGCGCTAACAGTCTACTTGGAAGAATTAAACTACTACGCACCGGAACACCGTGGTTTCCGACGAAAGCGATCGTGCACTACAAATCTACTACTAGCACGATTCAGTTGGATTGAAGCAGTAGAATATGCCACAGGACTTGATGTAGTCTTTCTCAACCGGCCAAAGGCGTCCGACCGGTTAGACCATCACATTCTGCTCTTCAAACTCCAGACCTCTGGTATTGGTGAGCCTCACCTAGGATGGATCAAAAGCTTTCTTCTACACCGGCGCCTGGAAGTACGTGTGCGTGAATCGCTGTCAGATCTCATTCGATTTGAATGCGGACTACCACAGGGTTCAGTACTAGGACCGTGGATATCTTTGGCTTACGTTGACGATATCATACATCTCATAAGCTCGAACTGCCTGCCTTTTGCCGATGACATCAAGGTGTGGAGGACCATTAATACACCAGGTGAAATCACAGTATTTCAAGCTCAACTGGATGGGGTATACGGGCGGTCATTCTAGAATATACTTAAATTCAATGTCGACAAATGTAGAGAGCTTCACTTACTGCGCAAGTTGGTGCATTCCAATAAACTCAGCAACCAGGAGCTTCAAACGTCTTCTAGCGAGAAAGATCAGAAGGTTTTAGTCCAGGTTGACCCTATATGTTCGAAGTAGACTGAAACGGCGTCTAGGATTGGCATCCAACACGTACTCCTCCTGATGCATGCATTCGGACGATTTGACTCTTCGATTTTTCCACAACTTCTCGGCTCATACATACGGCCACATATGGAATATGCAATATAGGTCTGGCAGCCATAGCTGAGGAGAGACCTCATCACTTTGGAGATACTCCAACACCGGGCAACCAACAATGTCAAGGGTCTGTGTAATTTTGCCGTATGAACGAAGGCTACAAATGCTCAGGGTCTCCAGCGGGCGGTATCGGCGATTCCGCAGGACCTCGCTTTGATTTACCATATTTTGAGAAATCCTAACCACACGTATCGCCATTTGCTATAGCTCAGTCTCAACAGTAATTTGATAGACCACCATCTCAAACTGGCAGAACAGTGCAGTCGTTTGGAATGCCGTCGGAATTTCTTTTCCGTAGACGTTTTTCGGACGTGGAATGCCCTACCGGAATCTGTCATATGTGCTCCCACGCTGGCAGAGTTCAAAGCCCGAGTTGACCTTACACGTTTTTCGCTGCACCATCTTAGATGACTCAATACCCATGGATAATCACAAGTATCTGTACGCGATTTCACTGGCGGTCAAATTCCAGATTTGGTTTCACTTTTTCACTTCCTTCATGTGTACACCAGGAGGAGACACCAATTTTACCAATATCCCATTTGCCATCGTTCCTTATGGATTTACCTTAGGTTTATAGCTTGTACTACCTATACCTCAGTGAGTTCACCGGTGTAAACCGCATTTTGCTAACAATGTGTTTTTTATACCTTGAAGCTTCACTAAAACCATCCTAAGGGACCTGTTAAGCATTAGCTCTTTTCCTCATATAAAACGATTGTTCCATTGCTACGCTTTCCGTTGTAATTTTGTTGTTCCACACTACCATTTTTGGCGAGAAAGCATATAAAAATGGGTTCACATATTCTATCGATGGGCCTGGGAAGTGTGTGTTCCAACCCTGATGACACCGGCAAAACAGCACCCTCTCTTACATTGTCAGTCGGCCTGTAGTTGGATTTAACTATATTCTACAGTGTTGCCGGCAATACTCACAACACTGGCCGTCTGATTTGCCACCAGTGTATTCCAACCCTAGTTGGTTTAAGTCTTGTGTACTGACACTGGAAATTTTATTTCATCTATTAGGTTACAAAAACTATGAGTTGGTATGGATGGCCCATTTGAGAGCCGTTCGGTATTAACTATGATGTCAAACTGATGATTCGTTTGGTTACGAAGCCTCATCTTGTATTCTAAGTGAAGTGGGATATCTAGATCATAACAGAATCTTTTCCAGGTCAACTTGATCAGTTGCGGTGGCGAGTATAAAAATCGCAATCTAAAGACGATCTATCTGCTTTCAGGTGATTCTGATTTACACTGTAGTGGTCTGCTATCGTTCCTCATGTCGCTGATGTCCTATTCTTTATCTACAAAGAAACTCTGTTATTTAATGAGTGAAACAGGTGGTCTAGCTACTCATCAAACAGCGCACCGAATGCGAGTGGGGCACTCACTTACATATGGATGATTTTTCGGGAGAAACGACACGTAGCATAAATGTTGATCCGATCGGAATGCGTTTGAGGTATGCTGCCAATTCGTGGTGCCGCCTGCCCACAAAGGAGACATCATTGACCCTCTCTACCTGATCTCCGACTTCAAGCAATCCTCCACTGCACTCCGATACGTGGGCTATAGTGCCACCTGGTTGGATGCGCTTGATGAACACTGTGCCGCACCCGGTGTCCGCAAGTGTCATGCCAAGTGAATCGCATTGTTTGCGCATCGTGATCTCCTTCGGCTGACCCCGAACGTGTGCGAAGATGAAGTCGTTTAGACCAATTTCGTATCCAAGCACTTTGTCCACATCCAGTTTGTGTGTGTTCAGCGTGCAATACATTATCTGTTTGAAGAAAATGAAAACGTGCTTTGATGCTACATACGAAACTTTATTTACATTATCAATTCAGACGATGCCTCCAAATAGGACTACCACTTAAGTCCATTCTGGTCTGCAGCATAGCGTATTGGGCAGCATATAGATGCTTCTGTGGACGTAAAGCCACTTGTATACGTTGTTGATAGGCAATCTGGCTTAGCGGCATCCATATTTTAATAAGCAAAACTTGTGTATCAGGAGGAGGGTATTTTTTTATATGCAAGGAAGAAACACCACTTGATCGCTCCGTAGTGTTAGCATATTTGGAGATTCGCTTAAAGAAAAATAGCGAGAGAACCCCAGATGAACCTGGGCTTTCAACTGTTGCGGTAGACACAATGATATTAATCAGTGCGATTATAAGGGCAGTCACTCGCTACCTATGAGTGAGAGCTTCATCGATTAGCCGCATCTGCTGGCTATTTTGTGTGTTTATAGAGGAGAAGTAGGGGAGTTGAATGATATGGGTAGTAATTCGTCACATCCAGACTCACTTGGACAGCCGTCACACGCCAGGAAGTGCAGTGTACGCGCGTTTCATCCTTTCGGGAATCGTATGCAGTGCGAATTCCATCGGACCCTTGGTAGGGCTCGAACCCGTAACTCGACTGTTGCCAGTCCGTGGTTGAGACCACTGGGCTACGGGGACGGTAACGACCATTGTGAATTATTTACCAGATGTGGCATAGCGCCGCTCACTATCCACTGACTTACACGTTACTGCCGTGCAGAGGACAGAGTAGCCCCCTCACCAAACGGCGAGCATCCCAGACTTAAGCCACCAGTTAACTTATGACATTATAAGCAGTTTGATCTGTGTACCGATTAAAGAGGAGTAGAAGGGGGTTGCATAGTATAGGTAGATGAGCGGCTCTATAGCATCTCCAGCAACATTCACGATGGTCGTTGTCGCCCCCCGTAGCTCAGTGGTCTCAACCACGGATTGGCAACAATCGAGTTACGGGTTCCAGCCCTACAAGGTCCGATGGAATGCGCACTGCACACGATTCCCGAAAGGATGAAACGCGTGCGCAGTGCTTTTCCGTGCGTATGACGGTTGTCTGAGTGAGTCTAGATGTGAAGAATTTCTACCTATTTCCTAGGTGCCACGTACGTATAGAGGAACTTTAGCATTTGACCAAACTCACCCCAAAAATACTTGACAGTTTGATAGGGATGAGATTTTAGTTATCACAATTTGTTAAATGAGTGAAAACTTATGGGTCGCTGCGTTTCGAATTCGCAAATTTCGAGGGGTATATGCGGAATCCATCAAGACTTGTGTACTTAGCGGCCAGTATGCAGGAATCTTTGTACGTGAGACCTTGTTTACAGGCGTCAAACTGGTGTCGAAAGCCTCAGAAGGTTTTGTGTAGATAAATCTAGTGTGGTGAAAACTCAATTCCATAGGCTACTACAAAGGCTGAATCGCCTGAGTCGGCGGTGGAACTAAGTGGACCACGACAGTTTTCAGAACTTACTTGACAGCGGCGCATTACTTTCTGAATGGAGGGAAGCGATTATCTGTCCCAGTAGGCTGCCTACAAATTACAGACCAGTCAGTCTGACTGGTGTCGTCGTCAAACTAATAAATTGATAACTGGTATATTTCTTGACGGTGCGAGACGCAGACCAACTGCCTTCTGTATAACAAAATCGGATGATAGGTAAGGATGTTCAAATTTTATAAGGTAGTTCCTAGAGTAGCTTTCGTGGTGTTCTATTAGTTAAGTAATAAATATACAGAAAGTGAAGAGTAAGGATAAATG